ATATTCCTTCCGTTATGGATGCTGAAGTAGTAGTAGGAAGAGGCACTAGTTCTGCAGAAAATCATTCCATGTGAAATAGGTTACTAAGGCAATATGAGTGATGTACTACTTGAACTGGCATTTCTGACAGGACATAATTCTTTGTTATGAAATACCCAAATGGCTTTGTGGTTAAATTCACCATTTTATGCATATTTGAAATATTAAATATTGAGTTGTGTGTTGCTGTTGCAAAGGGACTGGGGCTGTGATCACATTCTGAGCACCACAATTGAAGAGAGATATTGACAAGCTGGAATATGGGTTGTTGTAGGTTTTTGGGCTATATGGCCATGTTCTAGAAGCATTCTCTCCTGACATTTCGCCTGCATCTGTGACAAGCATCCTCAGAGGATGTGACGTCTCAGGGTTAGCCGGCTCCAAGTTGATGTTAAACTTTAAATAATGATTTTAGATAATCAATTAGTAGCAAGTTGGTTAAAAAGGGAAACAATCTCGCTGGACCAGGCCTAACAACCGCGAACCGAGGAAACCCATATACGCAAACACACATACATACCCAAATACACACACACACATATATATACAGACTGGGCCACAGCAACGCATGGCAGGGGACAGCTAGTAAATAATAAATAATAAATAAGGTAACCCAATGGGTTCCCATGACCAAGTGGATACTCAAACTCTGTCATCCAAATTCATACTCCAGATTCAAACCACTACACCACAATGGTTTATGTACATTATGATAAAATGATAACTGGTAAAATGTTATATCTTCAGAATGGGATAGTTAAGTATTAATATGGGGGCAGTCTCATCCACCCATGATTTCAAGGGGTCTTCTCAAGTCCTTTTCACGTCCATTATCCTAAATCTGGAGACAAGTTAGAATGGGCAGTCATGAGTTAACAATCTGTTAGTATTGTAGTTTTTTTTAAAGAATTTACATTGTAAACAAGCAAAAACAAAACTAAAAAATCCAATCCACAACACCTTAAAACATGGACCTAAGCAGAGCAGAGATCAGAAGGCATTTTCATTGCAAGTGAATCCAAACACTAAGACACTCATGGTAAGATGATGAACCAGGTGCTGTGTTCAGAGGTCAGACAGCTTCATCTGTTATTCTTTTGCATTCTCCTTGTTTTCATCCTCTTGAGAGACACCATTTTGAATGTGATAAATGTTAATTGTATGCACAGCGATATGACAGTGAGAAAGGTCACTTGTTATAAAGATTCGCTATCACTTGAAAAATGTTCCCCAACTAAGATGCCTGCTTCTATTCAACAGCATTTTGAAAGAGCACTGTTCAGGAGCTTCTAGTGAGTGAACCAGTGTATCTGCAATATTTCAAAAAGTGAGTCAGGTAGGTTTGCATACATCAACTAATCATCTAAAATAATGCTTCTCAACCTTTCAAATGCCGCAATCCCTTAATACAGTTCCTCATGTTGTGGTGAACCCCAACCATAAAATTATTTTTGTTGCTACTTCATAACTGTAATTTTGCTACAGTTATAAATCGTCATGTAAATATCTGATATACAGGATATATTTTCATTCTCTGGACCAAATTTGGCACAAATACCCAATATGCCCAAATTTGAATACTGGTGGGGTTGCGGGGAGATTGATTTTGTCATTTGGGAGTTGTAGTTTCTGGGATCGATAGTTCACCTACAATCAAAGAGAATTCTGAACTTCACCAACAATGGAATTGAACCAAACTTGGCACACAAACTTCCATGGACCAATGGATTGGTGGCCGCTGACCTTGAGTTTGGAGTTGTAGTTCACCTACATCCAGAGATAACTACGTTAATAGTCATGGAGAGACACTTTTTAATCCACACTGTGTGCAGAGTAGTATCCAATTCCCCTGCAAGGCCTGTTACTAGCCGATGACAGAGGAAGAAAGGTCTACCTAAATTGCTGTCATTGTTAATGTCTTTCCCCTATTTGCACTTCAAAGTTCTGAATGATTAAGATTTCTAGCTCACCTCAAATAAAACATGGTTAAATCAAAGTTGAAGAACCTTTGCTGACATGTCTCTTGGGCTTGCAAGGGAGGGGTGGGGATGAATTCAAATTAGGAAATATCTCGAAGACTGAAGATAAAAGAAGATGTAGCTTGCAGAAGAGATGGTGAATCTTTAAGGAAGTTGCCATTCCCATTTTAAGGCATTAAAGTAGAAAACTTATTTCTTCCCCAAATGTTTCCAACAGAGAGCATTTAATATGCTTACTTGTTCTGACATATTAAGAACAATCCCACAATATTTTGTCGAATCAACATAAATCAACAAAATACTGAAATGAGTGCCATTAACAGTATAGTAAAACTTCCACTTGACACAGCCTAGAAATTATTCCTGAATTAGAGGAATAATTTCAGGCTGGGGGGATCACGAAGGGGCTTCAAAGGAGTCACCAAAGACCATCAGAAAACATGTATTTCTGACTAGCCATCCCCTGCTACGCATTGCTGTGGCCCAGTCTGGTGATCTGGAAAATAAAGTAATGAGAAAGTATTGGTTTCTAATATATGTAATTCTTTCATGCTTGTGGGTAAACAGTATTTCTTGCTGTTTCTTTGTCTGGTTTGCCTACTCTGGAACATGCAACATGTTATTGTCCTTCTTTATATATCTCTCTGTGTGAATCATATCTATCTATATCTATAGCTGGAAGGCTCTTTGTCAGGAGGTCTTTCATTCTGTTTTCTTGCCCAGATGAAGGAAGTTGGACCTTAAGAATTTTCTGTTGGTCATGGGGGTTCTGTGTGGGAAGTTTGGCCCTATTCTGTCATTGGTGGGGTTCAGAATGCTCTTTGATTGTAGGTGAACTATAAATCCCAGTAACTACAACTCCCAAATGTCAAGGTCTATTTCCCTCAAACTCCCAAATGTCAATGTCTAGTTCCCACAAGCTCCATCTGTGTTCATATTTGGGCATATGGAATATTCGTGCCAAGTTTGGTACAGATCCATCATTGTTTGTGTCCACAGTGCTCTCTGGATGTAGGTGAACTACAACTCCCAAACTCAATGTCAATGCCCACCAAACCCTTCTAGTGTTTCTGTTGGTCATGGGAGTCCTGTGTGCCACATTTAGTTCGATTCCATCATTGGTGGAATTCAGAATGCTCTATAAATGAACTATAAATTCCAGCAACTACAACTCCCAAATCACAAAATCAACCTCTTCCCCCAACCTCACCAGTTTTCAAATTTGGGCATATCGGGTATTTGTGCCCAATTTGATTCAGTGAATGAAAATATACCCTTCATTTCAGATATCTACATTACAATTCATAATAGTAGCAAAATTATGAAGTTATGAAGTAGCAACAAAAAAAGTTATGGTTGAGGAACTGTATTAAGGGGTTGTGGCATTAGGAAGGTTGAGAAACACTGGTTTAGATGGTTATCTCCACTGCCATATCACCAGAAACAGCCCAAGATTATCAGGGACGTCACTTTGTTGGGGCAAGCCCCAAATAACTAGACCCAAGAGTGGTGAAAATTGCGATGTGAGCTTTTGAGCAATGACTCACAAGGTGCCTTTGCTTCCTAAAGGGCTAAATAGTTTTACAATCGTATGGTCCTGATGACTCACTAGCGGCATATTACAACCCAAGTCTGATACAGAATAGTAAGCAAGACTACGGAACCCCGTGCCCTTGCGAATGTGCTGATGACTCCACAGAGCAACCTGAATCAATATTTATCATGGAAACAGTCTCTAGTATCTCCACGTGGAAGCAAACCATGCATCAGCTTAGAGGGGTGTTAGAATTCAGAAGCATTGCCATGCCATCTAGTGGCTTGTTTTTAAAACATGCCTCGTATTAACTCCTTTTCCAGAGTTCCGATATTATAAAGCTTTCTTTACAGAAAAACTGCACTAACAAAGCTAGAAAACAGATTTTGAAAAACTTTTGGATATTAAAGTACCTGGTTATTGCTTTTGTTAGTGATCTATTTCATGTCTGAATCTTTAAAAATGTGGAGACCCTGGAGCAGTGCAGAACTGGGCCTCATGATGCTTGCAATTTTCCAATGAATATCTCAACCAATTTTATATGTCAGTTTGTGGTAGCCACAAAAACAAAGTTTCTGGAGCAAAACAACTACTTTCCAAGTAAGGACCGCACAATTAATCTTCTCTGTATTGTTTCAATTTTAGTATATGTGCCGTCGAAGCGGGGAACAGGATTGAGGGAGGCAGGCAGGCGGCAGTGCGCATGCGGGCGCAGGGGAAGCAGGGAAATGGAGTCCTTCCTCCTCCTCGCATGCTCTGCGCATGCCCCGTCTATTTCGTGAATTGTGAGTTTGTTGTAATGTTGTTTGGAATTTTGATTCGCGTTGTGCATACCTTGTGGGTTGAGGTATGTGCACGGCAAATTTGGTGAGTTTTCGTCAGGGTTTTTTCGCGTTTTGCTGTCCCGTTGAACTCCCTTTCCATTTTTATATATATAGATGATAAAAAGATAACCAGAAAAGGTAATATCTTCAGAATTATATAATTAAGTATAATTAAGATGTACATAATACTATGTAACAAAATTTGAAACAATTTCTGTTTCTGATTTGAAAGTGCACTGAATAGCCTTGCAGCTTCAAGGCTTAGTTGCTTCCTGTCTGGTAAATTTCTAGGCAAATTCCTACACCTGCAGCAGCTTCCCCTAACCTACGAAAATAACGTTGTTGAAAGATTTAGTATATTTGAAGGAACTGAAAGTGTTTGCAACTCTGCGCAATTGCTAAACATGTAGGATGAGACTAGGGCAGCTCTTCAGATGTGGCTTGACTGCAACTTCAACATTCCTCACCTTTGACTATACTAGCCAAGACACTTTAGAGCTGCAGCCCAAAAATATCTGGAAAACACAATTACTATCCCTGCCTTATGCAATAAATTATATGTTATTCAGCTGAACTCAGGTGCACACTTGGGAGTCTGTACTACAACAGTCCAAGCAATATATGGTTTTTGATGTCAATAAATTTTATTAATTTGAAGTGTGACAAGCAGTGTTTGCATGAACTAGATGATCCCCCTAAAAAGATTTTGGGATAGCAGCATATGCGCAGTCACTGGTAAGGCATGACTGCCCCCTTCATTACCACAGTTCTCAATTACTGGATTCTCCATTCTCTTGTCAACAGAAAAAGCCAAACTCAAACTTTGAAGCATTCCCATTGGTTCTCTCAGAACCGGACTTGGTTGCGGAAGTGCATTTGCTTGGTGGCATTATTCTGCATGCCGGTCTTCAGCATCCACTTTGCTTTCATCCTCTGGACATACTGCATGTCACGCTCGCAGGCCATTACTGATCCTACAGGAACGGAGAAAAGAAAAAACATTCAATATTTATTCCGGTGGTAAAACATAACATACTGCAGCAACTTACTGGCAGCACATGGGGAGAAGACCCAAAATGAAAAAGAACATCAGCCCTGGTCTTGTCTTAACTGCCGAGGTTGCTGTGTACTAATCATGTGAAGCAGGTGAACATAGCACTGAACGAAACATGCAGAATAATCACAGGATGTCTCAAACCTACACCTATTGATAGTCTCTACAAGCTAGTTGGCATTGCCCTCCCCCCCTCAATGTGTGACAGGAAGTTGCTGCTAATTATAAGAGAAATAAGGTTGAACACTGTGAAAGCCACCCACTGCATGGCTATCAGCCACCTCCCAGTAGACTCAAATCAAGGAAAAGCTTCATGAGAACCAACACTCTGCTTAATGTTCCCCAAGCAACAGCAAGAGCATCCCTCTGGGCAGCTAAACCAGGAAATCCCAATTGGATGCCCCCACACAAGTCTTACTTCAGGGGCAAACCAAGAATGGGCAGCTTGGAAGTTCCTGAAGAGACGCAGAAGTGGAGTGGGCAGGTCAAAAGATAGCCTGGCAAAATGGCACCACCTAGAAGAATCCTTCACCGTGTGCAACTGTAGAGCAGAACTACTCCACATCTGTATGCTTGCCCACATGCCCTGCCTCATGTACAGAGGCAGAATTGTTTACAGACAATGTGGTTGCTGTTACCCGTTTTTGGTCTAAAATTATTTAGCTGCTTGTGCTCCCTCTATTTTTATCAGTTTTATACGTGTATGCAATAATAATAATAATAATAATAATAATAATAATAATAATACTTTACTTAATACCCCGCCACCATCTCCCCAATGGGGACTCGGGGCGGCTTACATGGGGCCAAGCCCAACAGCATATTACAATAAAGTAAAACCAAAACCCAATAACAACACAGTAAAATACATACAACGTATGAGGACAAAGACAATAAAGCAAAATCATACATAGTAAAATAACATAACAATGAGTGGGCCGCATGTGCAAGATAAAAACTAAGATACTAAAAATACTAAAATCAGAATGAGATAGGGATGGAGCAGATTGTTTGTGGGGGAGAAATTCGTAAAGGAACGGGGTCATAAATATAGACCTTCATACAGGAGGGGAAATATACTCTGGGGACAAAAACCGTTGAGGGGGAGCAACTGTGTATGATAATATGGCTACTCTCCAAAATGCAATGCTTTTGACACAAAATAAATAAAATAAATGTGGTAAAAGGAGATGCTTGGTTGATGCTCTTTTGGATCTGGCGGCACTGGACACACACACAAAAAAATGAAATCAAGAGACAAGTTTGATTTGTTTGTGTGTGTTTTAAAGGCAATACTGCCAAGCCCAGTCTGGGTTGAATTTACCAATTTTGAGTAAACTGATGAAAACAGTTCATACAAGTCCCCTCTCTAGACATGCTGGCTAGAAGAAACTATGTTACCACATATTAATTTGGTTTGTTTACCAATGCTGCTTGTCCAGCCAAGGGCTCGATACTGCTTCAATACTCTTCCTATGGCGTGTTTATTTTTTGAGACTGCAACAGCTCTCGAGGAACCAAACCTTTGCTTGTAGTATCTCATCAAGGAACGGTGACCAATACTGACACCTTTGTTTGAGAGAAAGAAAGAAAAACAAACTGCATATTAGTGGGTAATTTCAAAAAGTATTTTAAAAGGTAAAGCCTCAATAACAACAAGAGCAGTTTAGGAGATCGGAAGCTTCTTGAGCACAGCAGTAGAGAGAATGAGCGTCAGCAATTACAGGAGCAGCGTCAAGCTTTAAAGGCTACACATGACTTTACTGAAAGAACTACATAATAATAATAATAATAATAATAATAATAATAATAATAATAACAACAATAATAATAATTAAAATAAAACTTTTATTTATACACCACCACCATCTCCCCAAGGGACTCGGAGCAACTTACATGAGGCCAAGCCCAACAACACATCAAAAACAACAAGCAATAATAAAACAACAAGCAATAAACAAAATAAACAATACAATTAATTTAACTCACAAGTAGACAGTAACACACAAGAATTTACATTTCTATATAGCAGTGGTTCCCAACCTTTTTTTTTGACCAGGGACTGCTTTGACCAGGAACCACTCTCCAACATTAGTATCAAAAGGGTTATGAATCAGTTTTTGGTCAACTTTAGATTCGGTTTGGTTATTTGGGGTGCCGATTCAGAAAACTGCATTGGATAGACCACATCAGCTCTAGTTTCCGATACAGAACATATGACACCCAGTCGATTTCTTTCCTGGGATTGCCCTTATTTTTGGAGATCAGGAATGTGAGTTTATCCATGTTTCTTAGCCCTTAGATTTTCATCATCCAGTCTGCCTCTTCTGGGTACACCTTTTTCTTTTTGGCTAAATGACCATGCTAAAATTGGGGTGTGCACCACATCACGTAATATGGTAAAGAGAAGGCTTGGGCTGCGGATGGGTGTGCACAGAAGAGCTGCCACCTTCACTGCCTCCTCCTCTGCTCCTGGGGCCTGCTGCCTAGCAAAGAGCCAGGGCTGCCCCCATTGGTTCTGTGCCGTCGGGAAGCGCCATCCCCTCCCCAGCCATATTTCTATTACACCAAAGTGAATAGCCTAACCCTGCAAGCCTTGGAAGGATGTTGCCCATATTTTTTAAAAAGCTGTATACTTACCAGAAGGTAAAATCAATTGCATAGTTTCCTCATTATACTCCAAGTTCTTGCCTGACGGCACTTCATCAGACATCTCCACATCGTCATCTTCCTGATAGTCAGGGTATGAGCTTCTACAAACCAGCAGGAGAAAGATCTTATGTTACATAAAAGGACACGTGATGCTCTTCCTAAAGAATGGTCCCAAACTTTTTACAACTTGATCTTTGTGATTTTCACAATCTGATACAATTAGGACAGTGGTGGGTTACGTGCAACCAGTGGACCACATGCAGCCTCAAACTTTTTTAGTTGCAGCACCAAATCTCCAAAGCTTTTGTATGCCCAGGAAGTGAAGGAGTATAAATACAATACCCCAAGAAACTCAATTACAATCCCGCAATCTCACGAGAGAGTCCCCCCTTGGGGGTTGAGAAGGGCAGGATAGAAATGCAAATAAATAAATAAATCCCAACCCACCCACTTGCAGAAAACTCCAAATACACAAAAATCACTACCAAAAGTAACTTCTTGTTGTGCCCCTTAACATAATATAAGATGGTATGGCCTACTGCAGGTGTAAAACTGAACCCTGCCTCTGCTGTCCAGCCCTGTATGAGCATAATTTATTTTTATGTATTTATTTACTGTATTTGTATACTGCCTTTCTCAGTCTTGCATGTCTAAACATTGCCCTCATCTAAAGAATGCAGCTCCTGTATTTATACTGCAGCAAAATATTCCAGTTTAGATCTCATCCCACTGCTATAATTTCCTACATGCTAGGACTTAACATTTGCCTCCCCAGTCCAATGTGAAGTTCCTCTACTTTAATCTAGAATGGTACAAACCCGGAAGGGTTGCGTCATGTGAATTTATATGCTGTGTTTCAAACAGATGAAAACAACCACAAGTATTAGTGGAAAGGTAGAGATCTGTTACTATTGCCTTATGCCTTCAAGGCAACTCTGATCTGAGTTGAGGTAAAGGTTTCCCCTGACATTAAGTCTAGTCGTGTCCGACTCTGGGAGGTGGTGCTCATCTCCATTTCTAAGCCAAAGAGCCGGCATTGACTGTAGACAACTCCAAGGACATGTGGCCAGCTCTGTTACCTTTCCCACAGAAGCAGTAGTTATTGATCTACTCACACTTGTATATTTTCGAACTGCTAGGTTGGAAGAAGCTAGGGCAAACAGCGGGAGCTCACCCCACTCCCCGGGTTTAACCGCCAACCTTTCAGTTAGCAAGTTCAGCAGCTCAGTGGTTTAACCCGCTGCACCACTAGGGGACCCAATCTAGGTGATCCTAATCTAGGATTTTCTTGGTAAAACATGTTCAGAGGTGGTTTTCTACTGCCATCCTATAAGCATTAAGAGATTCTGATTTGACCAATGTTACCTTGCAGGTTTTCATGACTGAGTGGAGATTTGAACTCTGATCTCTCGGATTCCTAGTCCAATTCTCAAAACAATATACACTACTGTCCAAGCTATAGACCAGGAGTCCTCAAACTTTTTAAGCAGTGGACCAGGTCACAGTCCCTCAAACTGTTGGAGGGCTGGATTATAATTTGAAAAAACACATGTAATTTGAATTCCTATGCACACTGCACATATCTTATTTGTAATGCAAACAAAACAACAAAAAAACCACTTACAACAATACAATAATTAAAATGAAGAACAATTTTAACAAATATAAAACGTGGGCCTGCTTTTGGCTATTTATTTATCGTGTCATCAGCAACCATTGTATTACAATTCTAACAGAGCAAAACAAACACACAGATTAAAAAGAAAAAGGAAAAAAAACACACAGATTTTGCAAATTTGGTATTTGGTTAAATGTCCTTTGACCAGTATCTGGCCACTTGGAGTGCCTCTGGGGTTGCCGCAAGGAGGTCCTCCATTGTGCATGTGGCAGGGCTCAGGGTGCATTGCAGCAGGTGGTCAGTGGTTTGTTCTTCTCCGCACTCGCATGCCGAGGATTCCACCCTGTAGCCCCATTTCTTAAGATTGGCTCTGCATCTCGTGGTGCCAGAGCGCAGTCTGTTCAGCGCCTTCCAAGTCGCCCAGTCTTCTGAGTGCCCAGAGGGGAGTCTCTCATCTGGTATCACCCATGAATTGAGGTGCTGGGTTTGGGCCTGCCACTTTTGGACTCTCGCTTGCTGGGGTGTTCCAGCGAGTGTCTCTGTAGATCTAAGAAAACTATGTCTTGATTTAAGTCGTTGACGTGCTGGCTGATACCCAAACAGGGGATGAGCTGGAGATGTCTCTGCCTTGGTCCTTTCACTATTGGCTGCTACTTCCCGTCGGATGTCAGGTGGTGCAATACTGGCTAAGCAGTGTAATTTCTCCAGTGGTGTAGGGCGCAGACACCCCGTGATAATGCGGCATGTCTCATTAAGAGCCACATCACTGTTTTAGTGTGGTGAGATGTGTTCCACACTGGGCATGCATACTCAGCAGCAGAGTAGCATAGCGCAAGGGCAGATGTCTTCACTGTGTCTGGTTGTGATCCCCAGGTTGTACCAGTCAGCTTTCGTATGATGTTGTTTCTAGCGCCCACTTTTTGCTTGATGTTCAGGCAGTGCTTCTTGTAGGTCAGAGCACGGTCCAAAGTGACTCCCAGGTATTTGGGTGTGTTGCAATGCTCCAGTGGGATTCCTTCCCAGGTAATCCTCAGAGCTCGGGATGCTTGTCTGTTCTTAAGGTGAAAGGCGCATGTCTGTGTTTTAGATGGATTAGGGATCAGCTGGTTTTCTGTAATAGGCAGTAAGAGCACCTAGAGCTTCGGAGAGCTTCTGTTCAACCATCTCAAAGCTCCCTGCTTGAGCAGTAATGGCACGATCATCAGCATAGATGAAACTCTCTGTCCCTTCTGGGAGTGGCTGGTCATTTGTGTAGATGTTGAACATGGATGGAGCAAGCACGCTCCCCTGAGGCAGGCCGTTCTTCTGTTTCCGCCATCTGCTTCTCTGGCCCTGGAACTCAACAAAAAAGCTCCTGTTTTGTAGCAGGTTTCCTATGAGGCGGGTGAGGTGGTAGTCTTTGTGATATTATACATTTTTCTCAGGAGGAGGCGGTGGTTCACAGTATCATAGGCTGCTGACAAGTCTATGAAGACAGCTCCTGTGATCTGCTGCCTTTCAAAGCCATCTTCTATGTGCTGAGTCAGGTTCAGCACTTGCGATGTGCAGCTTTTGCCTTTTCTGAAGCCAGCTTGCTGTGGGATCAGACAGGGGTCTATTTTTCCATAATTCTATGCAAAATAAGTCTCTCCAGAACTTTGTAGAGGTGGCACAACAGGGAGATTGGTCTGTAGCTTTTTGGGTCATTACGGTCTTTGCCTGGCTTCAAGATGGCGATGACTCTTGCTTTCCTCCAGATTTTGGGGATCTGACAGGATGCAGTGCAGTTGTTCATCAGCTCCAGCAGCCAGCGCCTTGCTTTTGGACCAAAGTTCTTGATTTGTTCCATCCGTAGATCATCCAAGCCAGCTGCTTTGCCATTTTTACATTTTTGAGAGCCATGTCCAATTCAGTGGATGTAAAGGGTTCATGAAGGTTGTTGTTCTCAATCTCTGGTTGTCTGGCTATTGGTTTCTTTCTACTTTGGTGGCAAGTTGGGTTTCCCGTTCTTCAAGAGTTGGTGTGCTATCTGATCTGCCTTTATGTTGGCATGGGTATTAGTTTGTGAGGGGTCATTGCTCAGCCGTCTTAGCAACCTCCATGCCTTCTGGCTGCTCCTGCCCATGTCGACCTATGTGATCAGCTTGATCCACTGTTCTTTCTTTGCTTCAGAGATGGAGGACACAATATTCTGCGCTGCCTGAAGAGTCTGCTCACTAAATGGGTCTTCGTTGTGGAGCCTGTAATAGTTTCCAACAAGGCAGCTGTTTCAGGAGTAATGCCCTGAAGGTAGTGGGTTCTGCAGCCTCTCGGTATAGAGGCCCGTGAGCAGGTTTTCACTATTTCAATAAAATGTTCGTATTCCTCAGGGATTGGCACGACCGATGTGATCATGTCATCTAACATGTCTGAGAATTTAGTCCAATCTGCCTTTCTGAAGTTGTATCTTCGTTTAAATCGAACTTCCTGAGGCCTTATTGTTGGGAACAGTTGGCATATTATTGGTCGGTGCTGTGTGTTTGGAATTGGTGGTCCCACTGATTTAGTGCATTGCTGTACAATGCTGTCGCTCACAAATAAGAGGTCTGGGTTATAACCTCGGTGCCATCTCCCGCTGTTGTAGGATGGTGGGAACTTACTTTTGGCTGATGAGATAAGATTGTTGTTGTTGTTGTGTACTTTCAAGTCGTTTCAGACTTAGGTTGACCTTGAGTGAGGGCCGGGTAAATTACCTTGGGGGGCCGTATTTGGCCCCCGGCCATAGTTTGAGGACCCCTACTTTAGACAGTGGGTTATACTAATTTGTCTTTTTGATTCACTTCATTTCATCCCTTAGTGGAGACTACCTCATTGTTTATCCCACCCGAAACTCCCACCAGACACAGCACTTTATCTATCAATCTCACCCACGGGTTTTACAATTTTTACCCTTTGCATTTGGCCCAGCTCTCCCTTGTTAAAATTCTTTTAGCATTTTATTCTTTGTTTTATTATGTTATTGTCATTATTTTATTCAATTACTATATTACTATTAAGCATTTTTTTATTTGATGCTGTCTGTTCTGTATGTATTTTATCTTGCTTTATTGTAATTATTTGGGCTTGGCCTCATGTTAGCCGCCCTGAGTCCCTTCAGGGAGATGGTGGCAGGGTTTAAATATTATTATTATTATTATTATTAACTCTGGTTAACTGGTAACAAAAGTCAGCAGGTAAAAAGGTAAAGGTTGTCCCCTGACATTAAGTCCAGTCGTGTCCCACTCTGGGGGTTGGTGCTCATCTCCATTTCTAAGCCAAAGAGCCGGCATTGTCCGTAAACACCTCCAAGGTCATGTGGCCAGCATGACTGCATGGAGCGCTGTTACCTTCCCGCCGGAGCCTTTGCAAGTTTTCAAACTACTAGGTTGGTAGAAGTTGGGGCTGACAGCGGAAGCTCATGGTGCTCCCTGGATTCGAACCTGCGACCTTTCGGTCAACAAGCTCAGCAACTCAGCGGTTTAACCCACTCTGCCACCGGGGGCTCCAAAAGTAAGTATGCTATCACTATTCTCAAAGGTCACAGTTATCTGAAGTCTGTTTTTACAACCGTCTTCTTCCCTCCCCTAAGCATTCCACAGTGATTATAAATGTGTTTATGCACCGCAGAAACAAGGACCTCAAAACATTTTAAAATTATTCCCTCCCTCTCTTCTCTCACCCCCACCCCCCGCCTCCAGTACTGGCTCCCATGTTTACAAAATATGACTGGATAACACTGAAACTGACTGGTCAGCTACTGTGATTTCCAACCTGAAATCGTAGAAGTCTGCAAATTCCAGGGCAGCATCTCCGTCTGTGAAGAGCTTGCAGTGACTTTTGTCATTCATATGCGCTTGCACAGCCTCTGTTGTGTAAAAGGACTTCCCTTTCTCGTTGCACCATAGGCAGACCTTCCCAACTCCAACCTTCTCCCCTATACATTGAAAGGAGAAAGAATGTCGTACTGCTTAAAATGTTGTAGGTTTTTTCATGCCACTTTAAAAAACACATTTTATTCCAAATGTTGGTTTTTTGTTTTTGTTTTTGCGTCAGGAGCGACTTGAGAAACTGCAAGTCGCTTCTGGTGTGAGAGAATTCGCCATCTGCAAGGATGTTGCTCAAGGGACGCCCGGATGTTTTACCATCCAGTGGGAGGCTTCTCTCATGTCTCCATATGAGAAACCTGGAGCACACAGAAGGGAGCTCACCTGCTCCCCGGATTCCAACCAGCAACGTTTTTGATCAGCAGTCCTGGCAGCGCAAAGATTTAACCCACTGCACTACTGGGGGCTTATGGGTTAAACCAGGGGCCCACAAACCTTTTAAACAGAGGGCCAGGTCACAGTTCCTCAAACTGTTGGAGGACGGATTATAATTTGAAAAAAAAAACAAGAATTCCTATGTACACTGCACATATCTTATTGTAGTACAAAACCATTTTAAAACAATACAATAATTAAAATGAAGAACAATTTTAACAAATATAAACTTATTAATATTTCAATGGGAAGTGTGGGCCTGCTTTTGCTGATGAGATAGGATTGTTGGTGTTGTTGTGTGCTTTCAAGTCGTTTCAGACTTAGGTTGACCCTGAGCGAGGGCCAGGTAAATGAACTTGGAAGGCTGTATCCGGCCCTCGGGCCTTAGTTTGAGGACCCCTGGGTTAAACCCTTGTGCTGGCTGAACTGCTGACTTGAAGGTCGGTGGTTTGAATCCATGAGATGGAATGAGCTCCCATCTGTTAGCTCCAGCTTCCCATGCAGGGACAGAAGTCTCCCACAGGATGGTAACACATCCAGGCATCCCCTGAACAACATCTCTGCAGACGGTCAATTCTCTCACACCAGATGCGACTTGCAGTTTCTCAAGCCACTTCTGACACTGTAAAAAAAAGTTCCACGTTTGTTTGTTTTTGTCGTGTCAGGAGCAAGTTGCTTCTGGTGTGAGAGAATTGGCCATCTGCAAGGACGTTGCCCAGGGGACGCCTGGATGATTTGATGTGGGAAGCTTATCTCATGTCCCCGCATGAAGAGCTGGAGCTGATAAAGGGAGCTCATCCGCCTCTCCCCGGATTCAAACCGGCGACCTGTCGGTCTTCAGTCCTGCTGGCACAGGGGTTTAACCCACTGCGCTACCGGGGGCTCCACATGGTAAAACTGTAGCAACACAAAACAAGCAATGTTACTAAACAAATCCCTGATCTCCACCCAAGCTTGGGAGTAATCTGTTACTAACAAAACACTACTTGAAACTACGTGCTGTTGGCTTGTGCACTGTTCTCAGTGTTGAGGTAACAATGAAGTGGATGGGATATACAGGTAATATATTGATATCCAAGCTTTCAAAGCTTTCTTCCTGGATCAGCAAGCTGTTCCCCCACATTCCTTGATGTAGATTTTTTCACAGAGGAATGGTGAGCAAAAACCATTCACACAGTGTCCTTGAATGGGAACCTCCTATATTGGAGATCTTCCTCTAGGCATAGCAGGTAATAGTACTGATACGTAACAGAGCTGTGCTAAAGAAGCAACTACCATTTTATATTTCCTAATTTCTCTAGTGGCACTAGTTCACAAACTGTATGGGACATAAAATGGGACATTCCCACACCCAGGGGGTAAATCATTCATTGGATCACCTTTTAAAAAAGAAAGAAAAAGAGCTAGGGCAGATGTCTCCAGTGATCTCAAGATACATGAAAATCTCTGGAGGCCTCAGGAGATGACGCCATTGCTCTCTATCTGGCAACACTGCCAAATACTCTCTGACCAACAATGGAACAGCATCTGGAAGAAGCTATTGCAGTCACTATAGAGTGAGTTGGGGAGGTGTTTTTTGTGGAAGGAAGAAGGGAATAAAAATTTCTGCAATTATCAAAACATACATATACAAGAAAAATGTGTAATTATGCTTGTGTATGTCATAAATCAGTATCTATATCCATTTTCTATCTAGGTATATATTGTGGGAGCACTGTTACTCCCACTGGTGATAGATCGGCAAATAGATAGATAGACAGATAGATAGATAGATAGATAGACCAAATTTGAAACACAGACACCCCCCCCCCCCCAAATGAACAACTTTAAAGTCTTGTGAGGTTTGGGGGGCAACAACAGATGATGGTGTGCGTTCATTTGCAAAGTGCACTATGAACCCCACCAACAGATCTGGATCACATTTGGCAGATATACACACCATTACCAAAGAGCCGGCGTTGTCCGTAGACACCTCCAAGTTCATGTGGCCAGCATGACTGCATGGAGTGCCGTTACCTTCCCGCTGGAGCAGTACCTACTCATCTATTCATATTTACATATTTTCAAACTGCTAAGTTGGTAGAAGCTGGGGCTAACGATGGGAGCTCACCCCACTCCCCGGATTCAAACCACCAACCTTTCGGTCAGCAAGTTCAGCAGCTCAGCAGTTAACCCACTGCACCATCGGGGGCTCTCTATGCACAACATGATCAACACAAAATACTGGAGAGTTGGGGAATATTGACCCAGGATAACGGGAGCTGTAATTCATCCACAATCAAAGAGCCCAACCAACAATGGATCTGGACCAAACATGATGCACACACCCATCAAGACCAGCTTTAACTACTGGTGCAGTTTGAGAGCAATGGCACATGATGATGACATTGTCGTTTACCCACATAATTATGCGTTTTATGATGGATCCATTCATAAAATCCAAAATCACACAATGATTCCTTCTAATGCTTATCCTTATAAAAGACCTAAATGAGGCATCGCTGGATACCTAAGCTAGATATTGTCACGAGTGCAACTTCCATCACCTCTCATTAATGACTAAAGATGATGGCAGCTGCACTACAACATGTGGGGTCAAGTTTCTCAACTCAATGTTTAATATGTAACAGAACATAATATCGAAGTTATGGTTTCTAAAAATCAACAACATAGTTTTATCTAGTCAAGAGTGAGGAAGAGTTCAAACTTACCTAAATACTTGATGAGCCCTCTGAGGTCCACGAGGTATTCTATGTCTGGAATAAAAAAACTATGGGCTTTTGTCATGTGGCTCACATTCTTCATGAGGGTGCTTGAGTGGTGGGAACAGAATAAACAATCAGTTACTGGGATTGCATCGGCAGTGAGGTGGTTCGACCCAGATGCTCCTGCTCCTGCTTCATCTGGGATTCTTTCTGTCTCCTCTTCTTCACACTCTAATTCTTCATCTGAGTCTACATCTTCCCAGCCTTTCCAACAAAATGAAAACAAACATCAAAAATCAGTATTTTCATGTTAAGAAAGAGCAGCACACTAAGAGCCATATTCAGTCAACATGCTGGCAGTGACATTTTACATGGCCCCAAAGTGAGATGAGCTCTTTCAGTGTTTCAAATGAAGCATCTGAAAAACGCACTGGTTACAGTAACTGATATGGACACTAAAGAAGCTTTTTTTCACTTCCTTCACTTGCCCTGCCATTCATCACCCTTGCCTCACAAAATCCCCAAGTGGAGAAGAATTATGGTTCTCTAAGACTGTGGTCTGTAGTCTTCTGGTGATGTAGGTCTTCAACTCCCCAAAAACTCAGGGTTTGAGAACTCCTGCTCTATATAGAATTGACTGGAACCAATGGATTGACATCTGGGACTGTTTTAGAGTATGCCTGTAACCACACAGAACTGTCCAGTATGTGCATTGTTCTCATTTCATCACCTGAGATGTTTACAATGTGAGAATGACCAAACCTGCACTCAGTGGGAGCTCTCACATAATTAGAAATATTTAAGCCACTTGGTGAATTAATCTATGAATGAAAGCAACACATAAATGTTATGTAGCAACAAATATACCATATATATTAAAGTATAAGTCAAAATGTTCAGCCCTTTTTTAGGCTGAAAAAGTCCCGCTTGACTTATACTTGAGTCAAAGTTATTTATTATTTTACTCTGTTGTCATTATTGTTTATTACATTTATTATTTTACTCTATAATTATTATTACTGTTCCATTATTTTACTCTATAATTATTATTATTACTCTTCCATTATTTTACTCTATAATTATTATTATTACTCTTCCATTCTTTTACTCTATAATTATTACTATATTTATTATTTTACTCTATTATTATTACATTTATTATTTTACTCTATTATTATTGTTATTACTATATTTCCATTATTTTACTCTATTATTATTACTATATTTATTATTTTACTCTATTTATTATTACTACTATATTTATTATTTTACTCTATTATTACTGTTATTACTTTTCTATAACTTCACTTTACTATTTTTATTACATGTATTATTTTACTCTATTATTATTTGAAGGATATGTAAGCACATTTACATTGAAGAAGGTTAGAATAATGGTTTAATCAGAGTTGGACAGTCTTCTCTTAAATTACAGTTTTATGTAAATATTCAAAAACATTTAACCTCATGATGCCTCAATTAATATAACTGTATTGGTATCTATTTTTATTTTGAAATTTACCACTAGCTGCTGCTTCTCTCACCCTCGGCTTATACTCGAGTCAATATGTTTTCCCAGATTTTTTGTGGTGAAATTAGGTGCCTCAGCTTCTATTCGGGTTGCTTATACTTGAGACTATATGGTACCTTTAGAATATCATTCCTCTTTGGTATACAAGACAGCACATGAGAAGGGGTACTCTTTTTCAAATGGGCAATAAGGACACAAATAAAAATATCCCTTTAATATTGTGGCAGCAATAAGCAATTTACTCTAGTATTTTTATTCATTAAGTGGTGGCATCGTTTAGTAAATTCAAAATATTAGGATAAGTAATCTGTTATTAACAGCCTTAAACTTGCTTATGAAGCCATTGTATGACTTTTTACACCAATTTTTTTGTGTCAGGAGTGACTTGAGATACTGCAAGTCGCTTCTGGTGTGAGAGAATTGGCCGTCTGAAAGGAAGTTGCCCAGAGAACGCCTGGATGTTTTGATGTTTTACCATCCTTGTGGGAGGCTTCTCTCATGTCCCCGCATGGGGAGCTGGAGCTGATAGAGGGAGCTCATCTGCGCTCTTCCTGGATTCAAACCTATGACCTCTTGGTCTTCAGTCCTGCTGCCACAAGGGTTTAACCCACTGCACCACAATTAAGAACTCTGAATTTTACCTTTCCTTCTCCACTTACCTGAAATATTATGTCTTCTTAGACTTGAAGGCCTACAGACAGGCACTGTCTTTGATTGATATGCAGATTTGTGAGTGTTTACAACAGACATAAGGAGCATAAATGTTCTACATAAACCAGTAATTTCTGTATAATATGACCTTACAAATATCTATCGACCTAGGAGGTTATTCTTCAATCCATCTGTTTAGGACAGTGGTTCCCCAGATGTTTTGGCCTTCAACTCCCATAAACCCTAACAGCTTAACTGGCTGGGATTTCTAGGAGTTGTAGGCCAAAACACCTGAGGACCCACTGGTTGAGAACCACTGGTTATAGGAGGTCAGCTAAGGCCCCTTCCACACAACTGAATAAAATCTCACATTTTCTGCTTTGAACTGGGATATATGGCAGCATGGACCAAGGGCCCTCCCACACAGCGCTATATCCCAGAATATCAAGGCAGAAAATCCCACAATATCTGCTTTGAATTGGGTTATCTGAGTCCACGTTCAATTAGTGTGCAATTTTCTACCTTGATTTTCTGGGATATAGGGTTGTGTGGAAGGGCGCTCAGATAACCCAGTTTAAAGCAGATATTTTGGGTTATTCTGCCTTGATATTCTGGGTTATATGGCTGTGTGGAAGGGCTCTAAGCCAACTTAGCTATGGCAACCGAAACAGCTTTCAATGACACCAACTTGGCTGTTGTTGCACATGGCCTGCTCTCCCCATTCCTGGTTGGAAGTTATCCGCACACCTTAGACCCATGCTGCTAGTGTAAATAGCTCTCAATCCATTACCTTCCTCCAGATCGTCATCATCCTCTTCATCAGAAGACAGTTCTTCCGCCAATTTCTTAGCCTGTTCTTCAAACCACTGAAGCCGGGGAGATCTTTCCATGCGTTCTCTTCTTCGGACTGAACTGCTACTTTCCACAGCTATGGAAGTCTCGGGGATGGCACTGGGCAACAAAGAGACCTTCTTTGGCGACGAGGACGGCTGAGGTCTGATGGCTTGCTGAATAGCTGTGTTCAAGGCATCTTTGTCAACACTCTCTTGGGCCAGGCCTTTTTCCAAGTTCTTCTCATTCATGAGTTCCACCTTCTTGCTGACAGCTTGGACGGCTTTCTTTTCCAGATCCAAGTGCTTCTTGGATTTTAGGTGGTTCTCGTAAGCATTGAAGTTGGAAAATCTCTTGCTGCAAGCTGTGCAGTAAGTCGCTGTGGCTTTGTTCTGCTCCTCCAAAGATGCTCGCTGGGCCAGAACCCGCTCCTGGAAGTTCTCAGCCGTGACAGGAGGCATCTCAGCCATTCTCCGCTTCAGGTTGTACCTGTGCCAGTCGGTCTGGTAATGCGTACGCTGGGCCGAGGCATCCTTGAAAGCCACGCGGCAAGTGATACAGGTATAGGATGCCATGACTGGGAAATGAAGAAGCAGGCAAACAGGAATAATCAAAAAGGGATAACTTAGACAGGATCTGCAGTGTTAAGGTTCAAGACATCGGGTTTTGAGATCAATGGACCAATGGTTTCACTTAATGTAAGGCTACTGCCCATGTTTATGACATAAACTTCCTAACATGATGAAACCGAAACTCTGTAACAGTGAATGCACTCTTTAGAGCAGGCCATAGACAAACTTCGGCCCTCCAGGTGTTTTGGACTTCAACTCCCAGAAATCCCAGCCAGTTTAACGGCTGTAATGAAATGTGGGAGCTGAAGTTCAAAACACCTCAAGGATCAAATGTTGAGAACCACTGATCTAAACATTATACATCATTTTAGATGTTGCTTAATTTTTCATCAAATATATTTCTATTCTAAGGGTACCTATATTTCCCTTAGTTGTAAAAAAATAAGTTGAAAAGAGAACAGGATACTGCGGGAGCCATCTAGGAACTTTTAAGATACAGAAACACCAAATGTCTACATTACAACGTCTCAAATGAAATCATCTCTAAGAAATAGAAATGAAAAGTTATTATTAAAAGTAGGGGAAAACAGAAAATCGAATGTATATGTAAAGTGACAAAATAATTAGAAGAAATACTAATAGTACAGGCACAGAGGGGAAGATAAGAAAAAGATTGGACAATATAAGAAGATCAGTGAGACAAACAAATGGAATTAAAAAAGAAAAAAAAACAATTATTGTTGCTTTTCCTAAGCAAAAGACATGGAACTGCTTTTAAAAAAAATAGAAATATGTATAACAATGCCCTCCCCTTCCTCATTCTTGGATGTACATTAGACTTATGGATAGACCTAACTTACTAACAAAACTTTATAATCAACTTATTATACTTCCCTTGGCCTTTCCCTCCACTCTTATGGTAAAATAGCCGAAAATGAAATTTAAAAGTGTATTTTTTTTTTAAAAAAAAATTAAAAATAAAAGGTCTGAAATCCTAAAGTGCCCACATGGGTGGCTGAGAGAGTGACACCTTTGCTTTTGGATGGTTCAATGAACTTGTTTCATTAATGTAAGTATTAAAAATATTGCAAGTTGTGTTGGATCTCTCACTTTGTGCTTATATGCAAACACAGGTATCTGAAATCAAAAACACTTCTGGTCCTATGCATTTTTGGACAAGGAATAGTCCACCTGCATCTGTGTCCCTGAAGGAGTTATTGTAAAATGAACTGTTCGCTATGGGACTTTCCAGACAGGCCCTATATCCCACGATTTGATCCCAGTTTTCTATTTATCCCAGATTATCTGGCAGCACAGACTTCTATAATCCACTTTAAAGCAGTTGTAAAAAAATTCACATTGAACTGGATTATGTGGCAGTGTGGACTCAGAGCCCCTCCAGATAGGCCTTATATCCCGGGATCTGATCCCAGGTTTTCTTCTTTAAACTGGATTATACAGGGTGAGGCAGCATAACTTCCTTTTTTAAAATGCGCACCATTCAGTCGGTTGAAGACGTAGCGGAGCACTAGTGGTCTCATTTGAGAGGCGGGAGTATACAGTTTTGTCCTGACACAGTTCAGTCGCCATTATGCGTTGGAACAGTGAGGAGCGTGTTTTTGCCGTTGAGGCCTACTTGTTGAGTGGATTTGGAGTGACCGGCCCGCTCTCCAGATTTGGCCCCTTGTGCTTTTTTTCTATAGGTTTTTTTAAATCCCGTGTTTATGTGAACTGTCCAAGGACTCTACAAGATTTGAAGACCAACATCCAGGAAGAAATTGCCAACATAACGCCTGCTATGCTGGCAAGAGTCATGACAAACGCCAGAAATCGGTTTACTCAGTGTATGGAGAATGGGGGACATCACCTATGTAATTTGATCCTCAAAACTACGTAAAAACTTTAGGTATGCGCCTACATCAGGGCCCCTCAAACTAAGGCCCGGGGGCTGGATACGGCCCTCCAAGGTCATTTACCCGGCCCTCGCTCAGGATCAACTTAAGTCTGAAACGACTTAAAAGCACACAACAACAACAATCCTATCTCTTCAGCCAAAGCAGACCCACACTTCCCATTGAAATATTAATAAGTTTATATTTGTTAAAATTGTTCTTCATTTTAATTATTGTATTGTTTTAAAGTGTTTTTTGCACTACAAACAAGACATGTGCAGTGTGCATAGGAATTCAGTCATGTTTTTTTCAAATTATAATCCGGCCCTACAACAGTTTGAGGGACTGTGACCTGACCCTCTCTTTAAAAATTTTGAGGACCCCTAGTCTACATTATAAAAAATATTAAAAGATTCTGATTCATACAATGGGTTTTATTAAGTTTTGAAAAAAGGAAGTTATGCTGCCTCACCCTGTAAATCCACTTTAAAGCAGTTGTATAAAATCCACATTGAACTGGATTATGTGGCAGTGTGGACTCAGGGCCCTTCCAGATAGGCCCTATATCCCAGGATCTGATCCCAGGTTTTCTTCTTTAAACTGGATTATATGTGTCCGTACTGCCAGATACTCTGGGATAAACAGAAAACCTGGGGTCAGATGCTGAGATAGCTTCAAAGTCAACCACATTGAAAGCAATTATCAGCAACTATTCCAATGATATCATAATGTAATTCCAAAAGACAAAGAGTCCAGATTGCAAAGGGTTCAAATTACAGAAAAGGAGATTAGGAAGAACTTCCTGGTTGTAAGATCTGTTCAGCAGTGGGACTCTGCTTTGGAGTGTTGTAGAAGCTCCTTCCTTTGAGGCTTTTAAACAAAGGCTGGGTGGCCATCTGTTGGGGGTGCTTTGATTGTGCTCTTCCTGCATGGCAGTGGGTTGGACTGGATGGCCCATGCGGTCTCTTCCAACTCTCTGCTTCTATAGATTTCCTCTTCCTCAAATGGCGTGAGTGTAAGTGGAGGGAGAGTACAATTGCTGCCCAAAAAGAGCTAAAGGAATAGCAAATAACAAGATGAAATGCTGGCCAAGGCGCTCGCAGGCCTCAACTCTTACTCACCATTCAAATCAATCTCCTCTTCCTTAAGCACGGCTTCCCAACCCGGAGAGAGAGGCGTTCTGCGACAACTGAAACCAACGTGGCTTCCGCTCTTCCTCCTGAAAGCTGCTCGTCTCGCGAGACCTTCACTCCCCTTCGGCGGCGTCTCAGGAATTCTAGAGATCTCGCGAGATGAGCGGCTCAAGCAAGAGCTTTGGACGCTTGGGGAGTTCCCGAATCCCGCGGAGCCTCATCTCGCGAGGTTTAGAGATGCTTAACCTCAGCCGGCCTCAGCTGTCAAGGCTCTTCATAGGCAACTCCTGATTGAAGGTGAAACCATGGAGAGGAAGCAGAGCAAGCATCGTCGAAGGCTTTCATGACTGGAATCACTAGGTTCTTGTAGGTTTTTTCGGGCTATAGGGCCATGTTCTAGAGGCATTCTCTCCTGACGTTTCGCCTGCATCTATGGCAAGCATCCTCAGAGGTAGTGAGGTCTGTTGGAATTAGGACAATGGGTTTATATATCTGTGGAATGGCTGGGGTGGGGCAAAGAGCTCTTCTCTGCTGGAGCTAGGTGTGAATGTTTCAACTGACCACCTTCATTAGCATTTGAAGGCCTGGCTGAGCCTGGGAAATGTTCTGTTGAGAGGTGTTAAGATGTGCCTGGTTGTTTCCTCTCTGCTGTTTTGCTGTTGTAATTTTAGAGTTTTTTAATACTGGTAGCCAGATTTTGTTCATTTTCATGGTCTCTTCCTTTCTGTTGAAATTGTCCACATGCTTGTGGATTTCAATGGCTTCTCTGTGTAGTCTGACATGGTGGTTGTTGATGTGGTCCAGCATTTCTGTGTTCTCAAATAATATGCTGTGTCCAGGCTGGTTCATCAGGTGCTCTGCAGTGCCTTTCATGTTCCTTGATCCTCTCACCTCTGCAGGAGTCTACCGTGTACCATGCAGCTGTGGACAAGTCTACATAGGGACCACCAAACCCAAACATGAATCAAGGAACATGAAAGGCACTGCAGACTACTTCAACCAGAGAAGTCAGCCATAGCAGAGCACCTGATGAACCAACCTGGACACAGCATATTATTTTAGAACACAGAAATGCTGGACCACTCTCACAACCACCATGTCAGACTACACAGAGAAGCCATTGAAATCCCAAGCATGTGGACAATTTCAACAGAAAGGAGGAAACCATGAAAATGAACAAAATCTGGCTACCAGTATTTAAAAAAAAACTCTAAAATTACAAGCAAAACAGCAGAGAGGAAACAACCAGGCACATCTTAACACCTCTCAACAGAACATTTTCCCAGGCTCAGTCAAGCCTTCAAATGCTAATGAAGGTGGTCAGCTGAAACATTCACACCTACCTCCAGCAGAGAAGAGCTCTGTGCCCCACCCCAGTCATTCCACAGATATATAAACCCATTTTCCTATTTCCAACAGACCTCACTACCTCTGAGGATGCTTGCCATAGATGCAGGTGAAACGTCAGGAGAAATGCCTCTAGAACATGGCCCTATAGCCCAAAAAAACCTACAAGAACCTAAAGCAAGCATCATTATTGGAATAATAATAATAATAATAATAATAATAATAATAATAATGTGGACTCATCTTCTTGTGTTTCAAATAATAATAATAGATAGCCAGCAGAGTGATCTTGTCTGCTGTCGACTCATCTTCTTGTGTTTCAAATAATAACAACAACAACAGCAACAACAATAATAATAATAAAGGATTGCAGAGAAACAGCTGGAAAAGCTGACACGATATGAGGATTTAAAGATCGAACTGCAAAGACTCTGGCACAAGCCTGTCAAGGTGGTCCCAGTGGTGATCGGCACACTGGGTGCAGTGCCTAAAGACCTTGGCCTGCACTTAAACACAATTGGTGCCAATAAAATTACCATCTGCTAGCGGCAAAAGGCAACCTTACTGGGATCTGCACACATTATTCGCCAATACATCAATATACAGTGTGCCAATCACCACTGGGACCACCTTGACTGGCTTGTGCCAGAGTCTTTGCAGTTTGATCTTTAAATCCTCATGTCATGTCAGCATTGCCAGTTGTTTCTGTGCAATCCTGCTGTCAGCTGGGACTGCAACATTGACGATCCGTACATTGTTTTTTAACACGATCGTGAGGTCAGGAGTATTGTGCTCCAAAAATGTCTGTCTGAATTCGGAAGTCCCAGGGGAGTTTGACGTGTACATTTTCTGTAACTTTTTCAGGCTTGTGATCCCATCAGTTCTTTGTCACAGGCAGATGGTGTTTGTGGCACAGGTTCCAATTAATCATCTGAGCAATGGTGTTATGCCTCTGCTTGTAGTCTGTCTGCGCAATCTTCTTGCAGCTGCTGAGGATGTGATCTATTGTTATGATGATGATGATTATTATTATTATTTGAAACACAATAAGATGAGTCCACAGCAGACAAGATCACTCTGCTGGCTATTTATAATAATAAGCTATTGTTTCATCTGCTTCCCTACAGAGTCTACACTTGGGATCTATCGTTGACTTTTCAGTTCTGGCTTTGATGGCATTGGTTCAAATTACCTGTTCTTGGGTTGCAAGTAGGGTGGCCTTTTGAGTTGACAGATAGTGATTTTGTCAGCACCTATTGTTTTTAAGTGCAGGCCAAGGTCTTTAGGCACTACACCCAGGCTTGTGATCCCACCAGTTTTGTTGTTGCAGGCAGGTGGTATTTGTGGCACAAGTTCCATCATAATTATTATTATTATAATTATTATTATTTGACCCTTCCAGACAGGCCCTATATGCCAGGATCTGGTACCAGATTTTCAGTTTATCCCAGATTATCTGGCAGTGTGGACTCATATAATCAAGTTTAAAGCACAAAACCTGGGATTAGATCCTGGGATATAGGGCCTGTCTGGAAGAGCCCATTATTATTATTAAGTAGAGGCATGCCTTAGTTCATGAAGTCTTCCAGGCCTCCTCCACACAGTTGTATAAAATCCACATTGAACTGGATTATGTGGCAGTGGGGACTCGGGGCATATCCAGACAGGCCCTATATCTCCATAGTTATCTATGCCCAGCTGTAGGCATTTATTTATTCAACCCATAATCATCTATTCAACCAAAGGCACCTATGCCCAGCTGTATTCCACCCATAGGCTCCTATGGATAATATTCTTCCCATGGGTATCCATGCCCGGCTGTAGACATTTATTTTTTCGGCCCCGAGGCATCTATTTAACCCATAGGCATATATGCTCAGCCATAGGCATCTATTTGACCCATAGACATCTATGTCCAACCAAAGGCATCTATGCCCAGCCATAGAGGTAGCCCTTGTCTCCTGGATGGAGGGAAGGTCAGAGGCATGAGGTGGAACCTTGATCTCTCACCCAACTCTCAAACCACTGCACTCTTTATCCTTATACAAAATCTGAAAAATAAAATTATACATATAAATTGCATAATTTATTCTGTATCTCCAAAATTATTTTCATGTATTGTTTCACTTTCCTTCAAATCTAAATTGAGTATTGAGTGAACAGTGGAGGAAATGAAACCTGCAAACTCTTGCAGTGACTGGATCCAAGGTTAAGTTTTAGGGCTGTCTTTGTAAACATGTCCTGTCAAAAGCGGACTGGAATTTTTCTGGAGATCTTACTCAAAACCCAAGGATTGCTACAAGAGTGCCCAAGAAAGCTGTAGTTGCTAAGTTGCTATGGTATTAATTTTCTAAGCAGCTGTTCCATTATCTTTTTTTGGAATCATGTCAAGTTGTAAAGCTCTATTTGTATATTTTATTTTATAGAGTGCACATATGAAGGAGCATATGTATTCAATTAAAAATAAATTAAAAAATTAAAGTGGCACAAGTTTATCATCTGATACCATAGTTTCTTCTTACCACTGATTTTTATATTTTAAACAGAACAAACATTCTCATAAATTGCCACTAGATGGCTGTCTGCTAATCTGCAACCGACCACAAAATTTTGATTGCCGGCATCCTTACCTGACATGCTTGGAACAGGAAGTATTTAGGTGTTGTTATTGTTTTTTTTTCAAAAATTTGGAATACTTGTATTTGTATATAGAGTCTCACTTATCCAACATAAATGGGTCGGCAGAACGTTTGATAAGTGAAAATGTTGGATAATAAGGAGGGATTAAAGAAAAGCCTATTAAACATCAAATTACCTTATTATTTTACAAATTAAGTACCAAAACATTAAATCATCAGAAAACAAGGGTGTCATTATCTTAGCCACCTCAAACTACGGCCCGGGGGCTGGATACAGCCCTCCAAGGTCATTTACCCGGCCCTCATTCAGCATCAACCTAAGTCTGAAATGACTTGAAAGCACACAACAACAACAATCCTATCTCATCAGCCAAAAGCAGGCCCACACTTCCCATTGAAATACTGATAAGTTTATATTTGTTGAAATTGTTCTTCATTTTAATTATTGCGTTTTAAAGTGATTTTGCACTACAAATAATATCATACGAAAGCTGACTGGCACAACCTGGGGATCACAACCAGACACAGTGAAGACATCTGCCCTTGCACTATGCTACTCAGATCAAACCCAGAACCTCAATCAATGGCTGATACCAAATGAGAGATTCCCCCCTGGGCACACAGAAAACTGGGCGACTTGGAAGGCACTGAACAGACTGCGCTCTGGCACCACGAGATGCAGAGCCAACCTTAAGAAATGGGGCTACAAAGTGGAATCCACGACATGAGAGTGTGGAGAAGAGCAAACCACTGACCACCTGCTGCAATGCAACCTGAGCCCTGCCACATGCACAATGGAGGACCTCCTTGTGGCAACACCAGAGGCACTCCAGGTGGCCAGATACTGGGCAAAGGACATTAATCAACTACCAAGCTTGCAAACTTTGTGTTTTGTCTGTTTGTTTGTTTTGCTAAAAATGTAATACAACTGTCTGGTTGCTCCTGACACGATAAATACTACAAATAAGATATGTGCAGTGTGCATAGGAATTCATTCATTTTTTCCCCAAAATATAATCTGGCCCTCCAACAGTTTGAAGGACTGTGACCTGGCCCTCTGTTTAAAAAGTTTGAGGACCCCTGATTTAATGTTTTAGGACTCAGTGCTGAAGACACATAAGTAGAAGCCTAGCGCTAAGGAGAAGCACATGAAATTTGACCATGAACCAGTGAGTTCAAACAAAAGGATATTTTGTTCCGAAATATCCACCTGGATAAAGGTGTCTGGAAGCACCTTTGAACATTGTCAGTTTTTCTGTGAGTGGTAGTGTTTGGAACTGCATGATCCTGCTGTGCTCAATGGAAACTTTTCAAACTTGAGTTTTAAGAGAAAAACTAAACAGTAACAAGCATGCAAATAGTCTTGTTTGTGAAACCTCCAGTTTGCTGGGACTAAATCTGATTTAAATCTGTTTGGACCATCATCTGGCTGGGTTTCCCAGTGATCATTTCTTAAAAACCAAGGCTGCAGCTCTTTTAGGATTGGATTTATGGGATAAAGTGTACCGTCTATTACTTTGCGAGAAACAAGCCTGCTCTGCCTTTGAATGTATTTAACTAATGCATTAAAGTTCATACCTAACATAGCAGTTACAATAAAGATAACATTAGTTGTAATTTCCTGGGTAAATTTTACAAATCTTTAGAAAAATCCAGTTGAACTGTTTTACAGAACTCTGCAAAGATTTCACAGAAAGCAAAGGTAGCATTGGGTGAAAAGAGAGGAATGAAATGAAGAAAGGTGAAAACTACGGTAGTATTTAGGGTTTTATGGCTTCTATGGTTTGCAATGACATGACGTAACAATATTAGGTACTTCTATTAGATGTTCAGAAATACATTTCAGGTTTTAATTTGTGAAGGGCATTTTGAGTTCTCTGATTAAAAGCTGAAGTAAACACACTAGAACAGGTTTATTTTTGAGAGATTATTATCAAAAGCATTTGGATATGTTGAGTCTCCTTGAGAATGTTTTAGTACTGAAATATTCATATATTATGCTACTTAATATTGCCAAAACAAGCAGAAGAGAATAAAATGGTGTGGAAAACCAACGTCTAGATAGGCCATGCCCACCAAATTTACCAGTTGCATGAGACTAGATGAGAAATACAATTCCACAGGAACCCATCCTAGCAGAAATATAGATCCCAGAAAATAGAATCTAAATTAACCAACTTTTTAATCAGCCATGCCCACAAAGTTCACCAGGTGCAACAGGTTGAGATGCTGTAAGCCACAAAAATGTCATAACAACCACCTTCTTATAGTCAGTTGGCCCAAACTGTCCTCTTAAACATGACTAGGAATGCTAGCTTTCCAGAGACATGTGTGGAAGGAGTTGGATTCCATATCGTTTTTTGTGACTTCTTGTCTTATTCCCATGTAGCTCTGTGTAAGTTATCAACTGAGTGGTTATGGCCCCATGGAAAGTTGGTGTGTTCAATGTCTTGCTGGAATTGACTGTTTCATAGATAGGCAGCGGCAACCACCTCTGTGTATTCCTTTCCTAAGAAAACTCAATGAAATCTTTGTAAGTCAACAAATGACTTGAAGGCACACACAGAGACACAGCGCTATGGAACGAATGAAAACTAAAAGACTGAAGTATAGCCATTTGTGTGGTTACTGAATGCGGTGGAGATAATTATACAGGGTGATGCAGCATAACTTCCCTTTTTCAGAACTTAATAAAACCCATTGTATGAATCAGAATATTTATTTTTTAATAATGTAGGCGCATACTTAAAGTTTTGTTTTATGTAGTTTTGAAGATCAAATTAGGTTGGTGACATCCCCCATTCTCCATACACTGAGTAAACCGATTTCTGGCGTTTGTCATGACTTTTGCCAGCATAGCAGGCGTTATGTTGGCAATTTCTTCCTGGATGTTGGCCTTCAAATCTTGTAGGGTCCTTGGATGGTTCACAGAAACACAGGATTTCAAAAAACCCCATCGAAAAACATCACAAGGGGTCAAATCTGGAGAACGGGCCGGCCACTCCAAATCCGCTCGAAAAGTAGGCCTCAACGACAAAAGCACGCTCCTCACTGTTCCAACGCATGATGGCGACTGAACTGTGTCAGGGCAAAACTTTATACTCCTGCCTCTCGAACGAGACCACTAGCGCTCCGCTACGTCTTCAACCGACTGAATGGCGCACATTTTTAAAAAGTACGTTATGCTGCCTCACCCTGTACTAAACAAGGAGGAATCAGTGCTTTTATTTCATACTCCATGTCAGTAAATGCTGGCAGTCTGTAAAGAGCCACACAAACCATTCAGCCAGTAGGACTTTTGTATTTCTCTAATGGCATCCTTGCAATCCTCTTCTGAAATGAAAACAGTTCAGTAAATGGCTGAAATTGTGTCCACACATCCATCCATCCATCCCAGTCATTATGCTACACTGTTGGGTGTGCTGTAAATTCATTTTATCAGACTGCAAACAAGATTCTAATCCCAACGCTTCTGGGTAAAGTATGGGAGATGGTGAATTAGTGCAGCTACACAATTGTTTTCATGACTGGGTCTTTATTTTGTCGCATAAGGACTGTACTTTTTAGTCCTGATACCAGAAAGATAATTATTTACAAGTCTCAAGCAGGCCCTCCTGCTTTAACCGATAGATGGAACTTTATTTCTTAGAAAAGTACCATTATATCTGATATTTGGAAATCCCTGAAACATTTCTTGAAACAAAACAATAAAGTGCACACAGTTACAATATACAACACAACTGGGATGATGCTCTACCAGTTCACGTATAAGTCTTCATCAAACCTTTTCCTACTGCCTTGTCAAATAGACTCTATTCCTTCCACAGTGCAGCCTAGTGCATGTTTACTTAGAAGTAAATCCCACTGACTTAAGTTATTTACTCCAAAGTAAGAGCGATTAAAATTGCAGCCTCATCCATACAACGGGTAAGGTTTCATTCTCTCCTATTGTTTCTTAAATGGGTGGGAGTTCTACTTCCTTCATTAATGTGTTTCTAAAATGTGTTTAATTCAACATTTTATGTGTTGGTCACATTGTGAGCCACTTTCAGTCTCAATTTAGGGGGAACAATGGCATATAAGTCAAATAAATAATAATCTCTATCTTCATCATGAACAGGAAGCACATGTTGAAAATGAGGTAGAGATTACTATCAGTTTTGCTTTAGCATACATCTATTTTGGAAATATGATTTGTAGTATCTGTAAGATGCTCCTTCACATGTTTGCTAAAAACTTGAGAGATGATCCCAATAAAATCAAAGCTAAAACTACATAAAAACCTGAGAACATGTGTATATTACTTGAAGGGTATTTGATTGGCAGCAACAACCAAAATATTGCATTAAGGAGTGATTTTACTAATACCGACTGCAATCCTAAACACACTTACTATGGATAGCTCCTACTGAAGTGGATGGGACTTGCTATAGAGTAAATATGCTTAGGATCATGCTGATGCCTCCCATCTTTGGCAGGGATTAAATCCTGCTTCCTGTTTAGTGCCAGGCTAAAGAATGAAGGCACCAGCTTGACCAACAGAAAGAAGAGGTGGTACCCATTCCACAGACACAAGTATAATCCATAAGAAGCACTTGCCCTTCTGGGTCTGTACTACCATTCAAATGCGCAAATCTGGGTGATCACAGGCAACCACTTCCACATACTTCTGCACGTGATGAATGGTTAGTGGTATCAAGTAGTACTAAAGGGTACTGAGATACCTTGATCAAGCTACTTCAGAGTGAGAACTGATGCCAGGGTTGTTTGATCTTGTTTGTCTGGGGTCTTATTAAACATTTTGGATGGGACAGGAGTGAAAAGAAAAAAAAATAGCTTCCAGCATATTTTTTAATACACCGGTATATTCTTCAGTAATATTAACTTCATTATTATTGCTATGACAGAAAATCACCCACTCAGCTGAGGGGTGAAGGGTCACAAGGTAACAATTTTCATGTTAGAATGTCAGCAAAACTCTGAAAGAGTCTGACATAAAGTCAAAAGAGATGATATGGTCCCTCAATCTGCTGGCTTTTTACACCATGCTACTAAAACTAGGTGCATTTCTTACCTTCAAATTTGGTTTACCTTAATAAGGCACTGCCTGTTTCCATCAATTTCGAAAGGTAAACCAGAAAGTATAGAAGATTATGTTCTGTTTTTAAGATGACCCAAAGTCTGCCACAGAATAAGCTAAGTGTTAATATTAGGAGTGTTTTATGGCAAAATCTTCTACTTATAGGCCAGATATATTCTGTATTTCTTTTGCAGGAGAACTCAATATCAAAGGTCTCTATAGTTTTAAATACAATCCTACAGTGATGTTTTGGAAGAAAAAGACCACTCAATGGATGGAGCTGGAGATAAAGAGACTGCCAATCCAACTTCAGTATTGATCTTCTCCATTTCCCCGTCCTTGCATCCCAGAGTCAGCTTCACGCTGGGTACACACATCCCACACAGAGTTGACATATACAGTCTTAAACACAGCATTTTTGCTTCATTTTCTAGGGCCTAATGCAAGGTTTCAGATGGGACATGGAGGAAGCATAACATTATTTTGTAAGGCTCTAAAGCCTCAATGTTTTGCTATAATTAGAAAATGCATCATCCTGTCTTGGACAATAAGGATATTGGGGAATTTAGGCAAATAATACATAAAATGGCAATCAATTTTGATGATGGCACCCCGATTTCATAAATTAGATGATATTTGCAAGTGTATTCAGACCCTTCTCCAATCTGGAGGTATTGATATTCTGCTACACAGGAGGCAACTAGGACATGATGGCTTCTTGTTCCCTGTTGGTATTTTCTCTCCCTGAAGCACTGCTGCCGATATGTTCGAAAAATAAGAGTAAACAGGCTGGAGGTGAAGAGGATTTGGTTACAGCCAAAAGGGAGCTACATTTGGCAAGTATACTTGCCCCATATATATACTTGCCTCTTATATTCCTTTGAGACAAAATAATGGGATATGTGTTTTTCCCCATTTCTATGGCATCGCTATTGGAAACAAAACTACCAGCGTCAACTGCTCTATAACAAGTTCACTCTGTATGAAGGACGTTACAGCACATCTAAAATAGATGGAGCTTGCAGCTCATCATTTTCTTTTTTATCTTTTTTTTGCCTTTTACATCTGTATTTTGTTTTGGCTATATACTATGAAGCAGCTTCAATCTGCATATTAATGGCCTCCAAGCAAGTTTGAGAGGAAGCCTGAGGACTTCTTGTTTCCCTCTAGCTCTGCCTTCTGGCCTTTGGTAAGTTCCAGTTCACTCTCCATCTGCTCAAGCTCCGACTGGTCAAGTAGTTCAAAATCATCGCCTTCCTCTGTGTCTGTCTCTTCGTTTAAATTGGGTTCTGCTTGCAGGAACTGCAACTGGTCTCTGACAGCTGCCGACACCACGGACGTGACAACCTCACTAGCAATGGCTCTTGCCATATTGGCGGCCTGGTTGTTGATCAAAGGCAGGGAGAGGCCTGCTGCAGAGTGCCCTTCCCGCCTCAGCTGGGTGCCCCGGTCCAAGGGGGCTGCGGAGAGACGATCCTTCTTCTTCCCTTGGTGGGCAGGCAGGCCAATGCTGGAATCATCCTCATCGTTTGTAGCCATGCCATTTTCCACAGATGGAAATTCTGCAAGATCTCTGGTGAAGACCTCCTCGTGGTCACTGGGACGATCAAAATCTATTGAATAGAAAAAAAATTAGAGAAGAGAAATCCACTGTCTCTTTGGTATCTGTGATACAATGTATTTCCCCGAAAATAAAACTGGGTTAATTTTTGCTCCAAAGATGTATTATGGTTTATTTTCAGGAGATGTCTCATTTTTTCATGGATCAAGTACACACCTTATTTGTGCATTTTGTCTGTACTCTGATTGGTCATTTGGCAATAAGTCTTGAGTTTATCTCGAGTTTACATCGGTGTTTATTTATCCAAAGGCACCTGCTTGGATATTTAGAAATACTTAATTACAATTTATATTATCATTTCTTTTAAGTACTAATGTCAATAATATTATTTATTTACATTTAGTTATATATTAATATTATTTTATAATTCAACATGTCTCTTGTGTGTTGCAATAGATGTACTACTGGTAAATGTGTCTAGCTGATGATCTTAACTGTGGCTTATTTTTGGGATAGGGCTTATATTACAAGCATCCTGAAATATCATAGTAGGGCTTATTTTCCAGTTAGGTCTTATTTTCTGGGAAATGTAGGTAGTAGTAGAGGTAGTAGTAGCAATACTACTACTACTACTATGACTACTACTACTAATAGTCTGGCATCTGTCTAGGAATCAGGTGCCTCTTAAATAACTAGTATTCTGGCAGTCCCTGAGTTACAAACATCCAACTTATAAACAACTCTTAGTTAAGAACCAGAGTAAGACAACAGGAAGTGAGAGAAATCTACCCCTACAAAGGGAAATTCACTCCTTCATAGGGAAAAAGGTGTCTCCACTGAAGCTTTCTCACCAATCTCTGTTTTCACAACAAGCCAGTTTTTTCAAAATCCAATTCTCACAGGGAAAGTGAGGTGAAATCTTCTGGACAGAGACAGAGAGAGCAAAACAAACAGCACAGGGGTGTTAACCCTTCTCTATACTTTCCATTGATAGAAGGACACATAGGACCCGGAAGCCTCCTCAGAATACTTCCGTTCAGCTGCAGTTACACAATAGATTCCA